AAATTAAATAGCATCTTATTCCACATTAGAAAGAAAAAAAAAAAGGACCAAGGGTGTAAGAAACTAGATTAATTAAAGGACTGAAAGAAAAGATCTGTTCTCTTTGAATTTTATACTTAGCAAACATACCTTTGAAAACTAAAAGTAAGATTTTCTAGTTATAAAAACTTAAAATATTTTAATGCCTCCAGACGTAGCATATAGGAAATAACAAAGAGCATAATTCAAAAGGCAAGAGAAGTTGTAGCTCCTGGATGAACAATAAAGAGCTCTCAATATGATAGTTATGCAGGACTATATAAAAGATATATTAGATGAACCCTTATTTAAAGGCCATTGCAGATTTCTATAAGAAAGCACATCTTTAATTTCCTATAAGTCTCAAAATGGCTAGGTGTTTTACTGAAGGACCCAAATTTGATTATCTATGAATTTGAAAGTAGACTCCTTATCTCCTGCCTGAAAGAATAATTCTTGAATACAGTATCACTCAGTCAGGATCAGAGGATTTAAGAGACATATCCAGCCAATACAGCCCCATTGTTTTTAAAAATTGAGAAATAGAGTGTGTTAAGTATTCAAAAAGTATTTATAAGAATTCATAAAAGTAAAATTGTGCCGATGGTCATAATCAGCCAACTTTGATTTGCTTGTCTTAGAATGAGTAGACATTCTTGGCTTAGATTCAGTGAACATTTCATTTAGTCAGAAAATAAACTACTCTAGGAAGAAGGGGAAAATACCTGATATACTTATTTTGCAATGGGAAAGTTAAAAGCAAACATTTACAGGACTTCTTAATGAATCAGATGTACACACAAATGTGAAGAAATACAGACAACCTTGATCCTTCTTTATTCCCCACAAAAGAATACGTTTACAGGTGCAAGTAGGAGGAAAACCTTGAAGCCCTCTGACTCAGTAACATCTCAGGAGCAGAGGGGGACAAATTTGTCATTTTTCTTTAGTAAATATAAGATAAAGGAACTAAAATATTCAATATGAAATCATCTGCATTTCCTGTATCTTATAATCTGAGCAACTGCTCTGAAGATAACAATATGCACCAGGCTAACTATTGTTAATTTCCTATCATCTTGTTTTGAAATTCTGTATTATTTTTGTTGTCATTTTTCTTTTCTTCTCCCTTTACAATAAAAAAATCTGCATTTTTACCAATTAAATTTGTGTGCCTGGTAAGTGTGTATCCCATACTTCAACTGCAGCAGGGGCCTGTGGATGTCTCTCTCCTCTGGTGTCTACTTCTCAACAGCAAGAGCCACTGAATCAACAGATAAACTTGGTAAGAAGTAAAGGAGTTTGTTGGACTCATTAAATAAGCAAAAGCTGTAACAAAGAATGGAAATATTAGCAGTTGTCCACCAATTTTAATTTACTTTCTGTTCTAAGTATGTCTGAACTTACGCAGGAAATTTCAAGATTCCAAAAATTATATGTACAGTATACATTTTCTTTCTCTGTAGTGGAATCCTATGGTAAAACCTAAGGACAGAGTTGTTAATAAGAAATTTGAGGCCCTAATTCATGTGTTCACTCAACCTCTGTTGTATTCAAGTTGGCTGAAAGCAAAGGCACACATGCCATCCAACTTGACAGTAACTACATCCTGTTCCTAAGGGGCCTCCTTGGGCCCCATACACAGTGAAGACTATGGGACATGAGATAACCAGCCAGATTCAAGAAAATCAGTCAGCCTGCTCCTCCTTATCATGAAGATCTTTCCCTAACACAAACAACAATAAAATGAAGTTGCCTGACACATTCTCTTTCTGACAAGTGGTGATGAATGTATTACACATACTTTCATTACTTTTCAAGAAGAAGTTTGATCACATCAATTTTTGGCATCGGAAAAATTCTTTAACAACTTGACTGCTATCTCTGTTTTCCACTGCTGATGACACTGTGCAAGCCCAGGGTACTGCATACGCTGAACATGTCTACACACCAACCAGATAACCTAAGACCAGAGTATGGCAAACTTTCTACAACCAGCTAGCTAACAATTATTTTAGGTTTTGTTACCATGTTCTATACAGTCTCTTTCAGAGTTGGCTACTCAACTCTGCCATTGTACTACAAAACACATTCCAAGCACAAGGGCCTAAGTTCAATCCCTGGTTCCGAAAAATAAAATAAATAAAAATAAAAATAAAAAATCCTGTACTACCAAACACAGTCTTACACAATATGCAAATGAACAGACATGGCTCTGTTTCAATAAAACTTTATTTACAAAAACAGGTCATATTTTCAGACCCCTGTTTTAAACAACTGGAAAATCTTGTTAGATCCTCTCCCAAGAATATTTTGATTGGAGATTTTACATTATCCTAATCAAAGTAGAGAAAACACACAGGAGACAATTTGAAATAATCATGATTGCTCAAGGTGGACTTAGGGGAATGTCTAGGAAAGAAGGTAATAACTGACTACTGTAACTACTAATCAGAGAACTTGATATCACTCTACCTACATTCTTCACTTCCCTTTACACAAAAGTTTGTGAGGCTGGCATCAGAATTCCCATTTTTCAGGTTTTTAAAACCATGAGGAGGTTCATTAACTCAGTGGCAAAGCCTACTGTACAACTGAGCCCTGTCTCACTGCAATACTCTTGCTGTTTATACTACACTGGTAACTCACTGGAGTGGATGTTCTCATCTGCACAGGGCAGAAAGGACAGTGCAGAACCAGGGAAGAGAACTTGCAGGTAGAGAAACTTCTGTACTCGCTCAAGAAGATCTCAAATCCATGGTTGGGGCTTGAAGCTTTCTACTTCTCTGTGTGAGCAGTCCTGAGCTTTACCAAGCTATCTTGACCTTAACTAAAGCTCATGTGCACAGTTAGTCCACAAACAAGGGTCATGGGCAAGGTACAAAGGAGGCAAAATTTTAATGTAAATGTTTTCTTAACCCTTTCCAGAACCCCAGGTACAGTCATTTCAGCTCATGCCTTGAGGGTGTTTTCTGAAAAAAGAAAGTGCCTTCTCAGCACTCTTGGTATCTGATTTCAAACCCTTCCCTTCCAGTAGGTGATTCTAAGTGGGCAGAGATGCCACCCTGTTTTTACTGATTTTCCCACAGGGTTGAGTCACCCACACAGTTGGGCCTACAGTGACAGCACAGGTACATGAGGCCTTTCTTAATTTTCATCAAGGTTCCAAAATGGACAGTTAAAGTTTGATTTGAATTCATATGAACACAAAAACATTCACCCCAATTATCCCATTGATGAGCATACACGTAACCTTCTTTACACTACAGTTTTGACCCAATTTAAATAGGAAGCAGGCTCTCTAACATCCTTTTTTAAAAAAACCATAAACTGTCTCTTAGGAAGCAGTAGAGAGGAAAGATACAGTGGTAGTAGAACAAAGAACAAAGAATATGGTATGCAAGTGTATACCACTCAGATTTGGACCCTGAACTAGAGCAGTTAGCATCATTTTGGTAGCACCATAGCTTAGGAGAGGCAGCTCTTCAAAAAAGTTATTATTTTTGCTCCAATTTTAAATTTGAAAAAAAATTTAAAAAGTGAGAAATGAAGGCTCACACAAAACTCAAATGCTTCAGCTCTAAGAGAGATAGTGTATGGATGCTTAGAAGGCCCTAAATGTCTTGGGGAGGCAAAGGCTTCCCCGCCTTCATGTACATAAAGTTTTGGCTGCCATTGCTTCTAGAACCACAGGATCTTTCACCATCCTTCCTCTAACAGTAGTTGCACACAAGCCAACCTAGAATATTCCTAGTTATCTTGGAAGGAATCCATAAGTCTCAAAATAAAAGTCCATGTCTTTTATTGAAAACTATATCTTGCTGCTATCCATGATGGGACTTCACAATCTCAGAAACTTTGAAGTCATTCCGATGTCTCACACATTAACAAGCTCAATTCCAGAAAATTTACACAAGGGACAAGGAAGCAGTGACACTGTGCTTGCAAGTCACATTTTAATTAATGAAGTTATGTTATCAAAACTTTAAAAGATCCAATAGAATCTTGGGAAATAAATATCCCCTAACTTTCGTGTTGCTCTAAATCTGGAGTTCCTTAAGTTTGCTTGAGGTAGGGTATATCTGAATTAATTAAAAGACTTTTAAAGAATTAAGCAAGTTTAATAGGAAGGTAGAACTGCTTTTAGTAATATTTATTGCTTGAGGAAGTATAGTTCAAGCCTCAATTAAGTTTCAACTCTTACGAGACTATTGAGTTAACTTCATTTACTCCATGCAAGGAATGTTGTAGATAATCTCTGTGTGACTTCAGTTATAAATAGCACGAGTTTCTTTGAAGTCTGAATAATGGAAAATAAAGTTCACAGTTGTTCCATCAAACTCCAGGGATAAAAATCAAGGTCAGAGATAAACCTGTTGCCCCTTTGCAGCAGAACATACCAGCCTTGCCACAGAATGAGAAAAAACAACAGGCAAGAGAGTGAAACAGCTAAAAGCAGCCTTCATAGAACCCCGGTTCCATCTCATTTCAAAGCACTCATAGAAACAAATCACCTTTAACAGAAAGCTGAGGAAGCCACTGGAAACGGGCCTGTGGAACTGAACAACAGGCTAAGGAACAGCTAGTCATAAAAATAAAGCCCCTTCAATACAGAGCTGCTCTGCCTTTCCCTCTCAGCCCCAAGCCTGTACCACATCTGGCTTTTGTTTGATGAATCATAAACTACCCTTTCTTCACCACAGTGATTCATGCATAGAAGTTGAGATCCGATGAGCTGTCCCTCCTTGGGACATCAATTCGTTTCTCTCCAGCCTGGAAAATCAGCATCACTTCTGACAGGTTGGTTTCTCCACTAGGCCGTATCTCACCCACTCCACTCCTCCTCACTCCCCAGCATTGGAGCCCAGGCCCTGTGGCCTCACCACCACCACCAGCTACCCAGTTCCAAGCCACCCTGTGACCGACCTCCCAGCCCTTGTCTGTGCTTATTTAGCTCTGACAGTGACAGTCAAAGCACTTACGTTTTTGCCAGAGCATGGCCTGTGACAGGATGTTGCCTTTTCTCTTTGAAGCAGACAGTTTGGCTTCTTTAATGTGAGACCTGGGTGTGCTTTCCTCCAGTGGAACCACTGCTTGCTCTGAGGCCGTTTCCTCAGCTTTTTAAAGGCCTGAGTTCAGCGCTGCGTAGGGGTGCGTCATCACATCCTCCCACCTCAGGCACGGGTGCACTTTTTCTACAGCAGTGCGGCCTGCCACCCCACTGTGTGCATCTTCTGAGGGCCACCGGCTGCAGAGGGCTTCACACACAGAGCCAGCCATCTGAGACTGACAGCCACACAGCGCAGAAAGTCATGGCCATTTGCACACAGCCATAGAGTGTGATGTGGGGTGTGTGTGCACACGCATGTACATGGATGGGTGCGAACAGCATGAATACTTAGTTAAGCCTTGGACCTCCTCACACAATGAGGGGCCAGAAAGGCCCTCTGGAAAATGCTAGGTTGTGTCTGGCACTCATTTGGGCTTCTATACCAGTGGGACGCTCGCAGCACTCAGCCTGCCTTGAGCGCCTGCTCAGCGGAAGTGCGATTCCCAGGGGTCACTGATTCTCAACATAGGAGGAAACACCTGTCCTCCTTTCAAGCTTCACTAAACAACCTCCTCATTCTTTTAATATTGCTTTTCTGTTTATTCCACTTTGAAAGTCAGTGGCCCCGCCCTTTGCCCCAGTGGAGGTCTCCACCAAAAATGGCAAGGCTTCATTTTGTTTCAGAACCCATGGAGGACGCTGGTCTTGATGATTGATAGGCTCATAGAAAGAGAGGCCAACTCACTCAGGGGAGAAAGGAGAAGATGCCCAGCCTTCTCACATGAAGCTGCCTTTTCAAAAGGGACTTATTAGTACCTCAGGGACAGAGACTTTCTCATAGTACTCCCTCCTGATTAGCAGGAAGCTCTCAAAAAGTAAGGGGTTCACCACCAACAGTGTGAGGGGGCAAGGCTAAGGCTGCCTTCTCACCACGTGTGAAGCACACACACTCAGGTTCCAGTGGCCCAATCAGTCTGAGGCCAAGACACCCCTTGGGCAGGTCTGGGCCTTGCTGCTCTGTCCCCCACAAGGCTGTGGCGTGATTGAGCACATCCTACATCTCATCTTATGTTTTCTCTTCTTCTTTTTCGCAGGCCACTAGCTAAAAGTCAAAAGAGGTCCTCACAGTTGAGCCTTTGACAACCTCTCCAGCACATCTCCTACTGTCTTCCTACTACCACCTGACAGGATCTTCTAGGCACTACTGAACAACCTGGCAATTCCCTGCTTTTACCTTGATGTCTTCTTGTGCTGGGCTATCTCCCCATTTTTCTGTCTAAAAATCACCTCCATTTTTCAAGAGCTGGCTCACATCTTACTTTTTATGTGAAAAATGTTCTGACTCATCAAACTTCCTATGCCAGAAAATATCCAATTGTGTTTCCTCTACCATTCAGAATAAACATTAAATGATGGCAGACTGTTGCCTGACACTATAGGTTCCCAAATGAGGTTTCCTCTTCATCTCTGTAGTGCTTCTCACACAGGACCTGGAACATACTGAGAGCCCAGTAAAAGTTCGCCTAATGAAATTATGAATTAAAATCTCTCATGGTTTGTTGGTTTGAGGGCAGGTCTTAAAAAGTAATATTGCTCAAATAAATAGCTCACTCAGAAAACATAGAAAGCTCTCTCTTGCCTGACTTAAAATCCCTCACCCAACAGCCTGTGAACTTCAGGACAATGGAGTAGCTGTGCCTTGGAGACTACACACCATGGCAGGGCCTGAGGACAGCCATGTCATAAGGCCTTGCGCCTGACTGAGAAGATCCCATTGGAAACAGCAGCACATTTATCCAGCCTGGCTCAACCCCAGGGGACATAGGACCCTGTCTAGCCTCTGCCATTAACTCATTTGATCCCCTTAAACAAGTCATATAACTCTTCTAGTCTTAGTTCCCATGTTTATAAAACAAACAAGTGGTCTTCTGGCTGCTTCACAGATTCTTAGGCCATGAACCCCATTGGTTTTCTCTCATGTCACTCAGATTTTTATTATCTTATTCTCTCCAAGTCTATGAAATTCTTTTTATTCACCTCTGTTTCTCTTCATAGGCTTAGCATGATGATTCCATGAAGTAATACTATTAACTACTTACAACGTACCATGCTCCATATTCAGCCTTAAATACATTCTCTCTAATCTAGTTTACACAACAATTTCATGAGGAAACTTTTATCTGTATTATTCCAAGAAACACGTTCTTAGGAAATTTAATTTGCCTTATTTCACAGATATCTTAGGTCATGGTGTAGGGATCAGATTCAAGTTCATATGATGAGATCTAGATTTCTATTTATTAATGTAATTATAATACACATGGATATTCATTAAGTTGGAATGAGTGAAAGCCAGCATGTTTATTCTGCTAATACAGGGTCACTATGATTAAAACCTGGAGCAGATTCACAGAAGTTTATTAAATCCCTGTCCTCTGGAAAAATAGAGAAAAGAAGAGATCCAGAGGAATGCTGATGGATCAGATTTTGTCCATTAGCAGAAGCAGTCAAATGATAGAGGTGAGGAAAAGCTAACACGTGGGCCCTTAATGATGAAATTTTAAAACAACTCACACAATGAGGAAATTCTAAAATCTTACTAATAAAAAGAGATTATTAACAACTGAAGATCAAGAACCATAATGGCAGTTTAGTTCTACACAGCAAAACTAGATGCAAATGACAATCAAGAAATATTGTTAAGGTACAAAGGAAAAAAAAACATTCAACCTATCATTTTAAATCCAGCCAAACTGTCATTCAAATACTGTACCATGACAAAAATATCCTCAGACCTTAAGGGCCTCACATCAAAATTGCTCTTAGAGGAAGTAATCAAATGAAAAGGGCTACCTGTAGGATGTGGCAAAAAAAAAAAATCTAAACTAAAGGTCATCAAATACCTAGGTCAAATTAATTATAAGAATTATAACAAAAAAACTAGAAACAAAAAGACAAAATTCATTCATAACCCAGAATAAAATATCTAAGCATATCAACACACTTACACAAATGTAAGGGACATCATTTATATTACATTTAATTTTGTAACATGTAATTCCAGATAAAATCAAAGGGAAACTTAATTGTGCAAATTTAATTGTACAAACTATAATTAGATTTTGTCACATAAAAAGGAAAACACAAGTTGACACCCCTTATCTGAAATGTTTAAGACCAGAAGTATTTTCAATTTCAGATTTTTTGGAATATTTGTATATACATAAGATATCTTAGGGGTGAGACCCAAGTTCAAAGAGTAAAGTTGTTAATGTTTCATCAACACTTTATGTACATGGACAGAAAGTGATTTGGTACAACATTTTCTTTTTGTTCAATTTTTGTAATTTTATATTGAATAATAAAAACAAAAGCAAAAACAAATAGCAGAAAGAAGGACAGAGACAGGGCAATACACAATAATACATATGTTATAGATTTCCAAAACAAGAATAGCTAACGAACAATGGTTGTTCTATTATCTATTTTTATCATCAAATTTGTTGCTCAGATCAGCAAATGTAGTGTTTTGACTGCAACCTGTCACATGAGATAAAGTCATAATTTCCTACTTGTAGTATCATGTCAAGACTCAAAAACATTTACCATTTTGAAGAATTTTGGATCTTGGCTTTTTAGATTAGTGGTGCCCATCCTGTACAATGATAGATAAATTTAACAAATCTATAACAAAAAAAAGAGGGCCAGCCAAATAGCTCAGCAGACTAAAGTGCCAGCTTAGGCAGATGCAGTGGTCAGGGTTCAATCCCTGGCATGCCGTGCTGGCTGCCCCCAGGATGTGCTGAAAGGGTGACTGAGACTGGGCATGGTGGTGCCCACCTGTAATCCCAGTGCTTGGGAGGCAGATAACTATAAGTCCGATCTACACAGTGAGACCCTGTAGACCCTGTACTAAAATACAAAATAATAATAATAATAATAATAATAATAGTAATTGGAAGTATAAACTTGAAGTAAGGGCCACCACTTTTGTCCAACTATCTAAACAGAAATAGAATGCTTTATTTTTTTAACCAGCTAAATAAAACTAGACCTTCCTATGGAAAACAAGAAAGGAGTACATGAAAAATAAAATGAACCAAAAACAGAAATAGGTGACAAGCTTGAATAGTACAATGATCATAATGAATAGAAAGATCATAATGAGTATAAGCTTGCCAGTAAAAAGACACAGATTTCTGAACTGAATTTAAATACTCTGAAAGAACCAACAATGTGATGTCATAGTTGAAAGGAATCTAGAATGTTTGCAAGGAAAAGGTCAATGTAACTTTGGTTCTAAGGCTAGTTAAGTCAGTATGAGAAAATTATAGGTCATTTAATATAGAAACATAAATTCAAAAATCCTGAAAATTAGTTTGCAGAATTCAATAGCATACTAAGAAATAATATAATCATAAATAACACTATTAAAACACTATAATACATAAGATTCTTGGGTTGAATCTTGAATATTATAGTGTTATAATATGATTATTTATTATTATTTCTTAGTATGCTATTGAATTCTGGAAACTGATTTTCAAGATTTTTGATTTAATAATTTTTTTTTACTCATAGTTCGACAATATGCTGGATTATATTGATGGGTTTTCTTTCTTTCTTTCTAAGATTAGACTAGAAAAATCTATCAATAGGGGCCGGGGAGATGGCTCAGTGGAATAAGCGCTTCCCTGGCAAGTGCAAGGGCCTGAGTTCAATCCCTGGCTCCACCAAAAAAAAAAAAAAAAAGAAGGAAAGAAAACCCATCAATATAATCCAGCATATTGTTGAATTGTGAGTAAAAAAAATTATTAAATTACCTTAATTAATGCCTAAACATTTGATGAGGCCCAAAATCTATTTATAATTTCAGATAAATAACTCCTTAAAAATAGGACTAGAAGGAAACTTCATTAGCTTGACAAAGTATATACCAAAAATCTACACTGGTATTATATAGAATGGAGAAATTATAAAGATTCCCTTAAAGAGCATTATGTGATTAATTTCTGAACATTTTTATCTTCAGAATCATGT